AAGAGCACGATCCAGCCCCAGCCACCATCCGGGGGCTTCACGGGAGCAGGGAGCTGCCCTTCCTCTGGGTCAGCTCTCCCCATCGTCTAGCCTGGGAGGGGAAAGGCAGGTCAAGAGGAGGTAGGGCAACAGAGATAGAGAGAAAGATAAAGAAATCTCCAGGTGCTGCAAGACGAGAAGAGCAGAGCAGGCAAACATTTACTGCAAGGTTTCTCTCCATGCCCACTGTCTCCAAGCTCCGAGACCCTCACCAGGGGACCACATCATCTCTCTGCACCTTCATCCTGCCAGGCAAGGCAGGACCGCTCCAGGGTGCGAGGCCAAGCCACACTTGGGCAGAGAAGGGAAGACTCCCCCCAAGCTCAGGGCACCCCACAGCTCTGTCACCCCTGGTCAGAAGCAGACAAGCAGGGTCACAGCTCCTAGTTGAGACTGGAGAGCTGCACCTGATGTGGTGGGGCATCAGGATCTGCAGCACCCTACCTTGCTCTGGGGTCCCAAGATCACTCTTTGAGCCTTTTACCTCCTGGTCTGCTCTGTCTGGGAGCCCTCCAGGGTCTGCCCTGCTACAGAAGCCTCCAGCAGTGGGGCAGAGGAGGTCCATGAACCCCACTGTGCTTTCCTCTGGGAGGCTGCTGTGCACAGCCCTCACCCTCCCTTCCTCACCGCGAGTGGCCAGATTTGGGAAAATTGGTGAAGGGGGAGAGCACGGCAAAACCGGTGGTGGTGGCTACTCGCATGCCAGAGAGATTAGGGCTCTGTACCTACATGGAGGGGCCAGAACAAAGCCTAAGGGGGGAGAAGGAGGGAATTAGAGGGGATATCTTGTGAGTTGCTCTCAGGGCTGTTAAGCTGCCCAGGAATTTTTCTTCAAATGGCTGCTGTGGACATGTTTTTCTCATTTCTCCCCAAGGTACCAGGTCTTTGCCGTAGGCCTTCTGGCCTCAGTTTCTTGGTCAGCCAGGCTTATTTTTACACCCGTATGCAAAAACATCACTGGCCTTTGATTATTGATGCTCCCAAGTAGCATCAGCCAGGCATTATAAAATAGGGGGGCTTTCTCCATGCCTGAGCTGGACTTTGCCAGGTCCAGTTTGCTGTCTCACCGTCCTGCTGGCAGTACACCCCCAGCGTGGGTCCTCTCTCCTCCCAGCTCCCTTGGCTGAAGGACTACGAGATGGCGGCAATGTCCCCATCCCTTGGCACTGGGAGTTGTGTGAAATGCAAGCAGTCAAATGCTGACTGTGACTGCCGAGGGGACAAGGACACTCCAATGGATGGGACAAGAGGGATAGCACCTGGAAGCTTTGGATCTGGGTGCATTTCTCAAGGAAGTCCCTCTTCTTTGTTTCCTCTAAGCAATGGGGACGACTTGTCCCGATTCCCATAGCACTGATTGCTCTGCAGGTTAAACAAGTGCAAATTCTTTAGGCAAAAGCATGGATGGCACAGGCAGAGTCCAGGTAAAGGACCCTTGCTTGGCAAGAGGTGGTCCTACCCCATGACACCTCTGAATCTTGCAGAAAAGGAGAACGACTAGTCTTTCTCAGGCTGCAGGAGCTTCAGCATGTAGAGCTGAGGCTGGAAATGGGGGTTGGAAAGTGCTCTGAGAGGGGTCTGAAACCATAGTTTAGGGGATGCTGGAGCAGGGACCTGCAAGACAAGACAACTAGGCCAGTTCCGGACCCCTCCACAAGGGACATGGCATCTGCACCCACGGTGCATTGACACGAGGAGGCCCAAAATGGTCTTGGCCAGTTGGTTTTAGTCAGATGCCCAAGCCAAGGTTGACCTGTGGAGGGAAGGGTGGAATCAGAGTCACCAGCCACCCACAGTGGTATCCCTCCTTCCCCTCCCCAGGGAATCGTTGCTTCTGAAAACACTTGAGGGTTTGTGCATGGCAGCACCCAGTTGTCTGCCACCACCACGGGTCCCCAGACTTTCAGGACCCCATCAGCCGGCTACAAAAGCGCAAATGTTTCTCAGTCAGAGCTGGTCCTCGACCACCACCACTTCACCATCTGCTGCACATGGCTGCCTCAGATGAGAGCAGCTGACATCAAACACGCCCTGAGCCTTTTTATCCAAGCTCCTCTCCCAGCCTCGCTCTGCTTGATCTCATCCTGCACCACAAATGAAATTAATCAATCAAACCATTGCAACTGATCTTTCCCCCCACCCCCCAGCTTCCTAGCAAGAAAATATTTGTCCATCTGTGGCATGTTCTTCAGAGATTTCTGTAGCATCGCCTGTCAACGAGGAGTCAACTGCCTTTGATTTTGAAGAGCACGTTAGACAAATATCCATCAGTGCTGTGCGAGTTTGGAGCTGGATGGGTACCACTGCAGAAGCCACTTGCTCAGGGCTACACAACCGTACAGCAAGGCGTGAAGAGGCTTTTACCTGCCTGCAGACAGATGTTGGCTGAAAAAGATGAGGTGCACCAGAGGAGCCCACCTGGGGAGATGTCTCCAAAGCCAATACGCTGTAACACAGCTCTGCTGGAGATTTATCCCAGCTCTGAGCCAGGCAGCTCCGAGCTGCCTTGCTCCTGACACCACAGCCCATACGCTGGCTCTTCTCCTCACGACCGCACACCGTGGGCACACCGTGTACCTCTACAGCTTGCTATTATCTTTCTCCTCAGTTAAGCAGCTTTATTCACAGGTAAAAATACCACGGGTACATTCACACGCACCTAAAAGCTCATCGGCATGGGCACCTGCCCTTCCACAGAGCTGGCTGCTGGTGGGTTCCAGGAGAAGACCTGCACCGACACCAGCAGTTACCAGCCCAGGCTGGGAGGGTGAAGGCCATGGCAGGTTCAGCTGTGGCTGCCAGTCCCTGGGCACACACAGAGCACGGAGCAGCCGGTGCTGGACGATGCGCAGCAAAGCTCTGCCGCGCCAGGCAAGCTGCGTGCAGGAGGGTCTGCGTGAATGCTAGGATGGCTCCTAGTGCCTCCACACAGCACGGGTGGGGTCTGTTTGATAAATGCAAGGACCACGATTCATGCCACCAGCCTCCCCAGCCCACAGACAACACCCTGGGAAAGCATTCATTGGAGAATTAAATCAGTGCAAGCTGTCGCATCGGCAGCCGGTGCTGGGATGCCATCATCTCACCGCGGCACTGACCTGTGCAACGAAGCGACGACCTTCTGAGCACGGGATGATCCTCCGAGGGCCGAGTGGACCCGTCAGCAAGCCCTCCCTTCTCCCTCCGGCTCGCACTTCCCGGCTCTGGACGAGGGCGCCCGCTTAGATGGTCCCGCTGGCTCTTTGCTCCATGGTGGACACACCGTCAGCCAGGCACGGGGAGGATGCCCGCAGGAATCCAGCGCCCGTCAGGCAGCGTCTAGTGCCCCGCTCCTTCCTTTGGGACGACTATGTCCTCGCTAGAGAGCTAATCCCCCTCGCAGCCTGCTTTCCTCCAGCCCCGATGCTGCCCAGCGAAGCCGCCCGTGGCCGACCCAGGGGGATGCCCCGTGCGGGGGACCCCCTTGCCTCCCGTGGGTGCAGGTGGTGACCCACGGCCCTCCCAGCGTGGATGTGGGTCAGCAGCCGCTTATGGTTT